ACAGGTCCCAGCTCCCCCAGGACAGGATCCAGCCCCCACGGGATCACCCTGATCCCCACGGGATGGATCCAGCACCCCCAGGATGGGATCCAGAACCCCCAGGATCACCCAGATCCCCCCAGGATGGGATCCAGCACCCCCAGGACGGGACCCAGCATCCCCAGGATGGGATCCAGAACTCCCAGGATGGGATCCAGAACCCCCAGGATGGGATCCAGAACCCCCAGGATCACCCTGATCCCCCCAGGATGGGATCCAGCACCCCCAGGATGGGATCCAGAACCCCCAGGGCAGGACCCAGCACCCCCAGGACAGGACCCAGCACCCCCAGGATCACCCTGATCCCCACAGGATGGATCCAGCACCCCCAGGATGGGATCCAGAACCCCCAGGATCACCCTGATCCCCCCAGGATGGGATCCAGAACCCCAGGGCAGGACCCAGCACCCCCAGGACAGGACCCAGCACCCATGGGTTCACCCTGATCCCCACAGGATGGATCCAGCACCCCCAGGGCAGGATCCAGCACCCCAGGGCAGGACCCAGCACCCTCAGGACGGGACCCAGCCCCCACGGGATCCCCCAGATCCCGGGATCCCACCTCCATGGTGTAGTTGGAGTGCTGGTTGTCGAAGATGAGCGCCTCCTGCACCAGCTGGTGCTGCTGCTCCAGCAGCTCCAGGTTGGGTTTGTACTCCACGATGTTCTCCTCGTACTCCTTCAGGTGGCTCAGCTGATCCTCCAGCGTGCCGTTCATCTCGATGGAGATCCGCCCGATCTCCTGCAGACACGGAAACTTCCAGATCCCCATCCCGGATCACCCAGACGGGAATCCCTGAGCAGCCCCAAATCCCGGGATTTCCACCCCAGATCTACAGGAGAACACCCGGAAATCCCTGAGGATCCCCAAATCCCGGGATTCCCACCCCATTTTCCAGGAGAACACCCGGAAATCCCTGACCCAACCCTTTCCCACCCCATTCCTGACCCCAGACCGGCCTTTTCCCGGCCTCATTCCCGGCATTCCCGGCCTCATTCCCGGTATTCCCAGCCTCATTCCCGGTATTCCCAGCCTCATTCCCGGTATTCCCGGCATTCCCAGCCTCATTCCTGGTATTCCTGGCCTCATTCCCAGCATTCCCAGCCTCATTCCCGGCCTCATTCCTGGTATTCCCGGTATTTCCAGCCTCATTCCCGGTATTCCCAGCCTCATTCCTGGTATTCCTGGCCTCATTCCCGGCATTCCCAGCCTCATTCCCGGCCTCATTCCTGGTATTCCTGGTATTCCCGGTATTCCCAGCCTCACTCCCAGCCTCATTCCCAGCATTCCCAGCCTCATTCCCAGCATTCCCAGCCTCATTCCCAGCATTCCCAGCCTCATTCCCGGCATTCCCAGCCTCATTCCCAGCCTCATTCCCGGCATTCCCAGCCTCATTCCCGGTATTCCCAGCCTCATTCCCAGCATTCCCGGTATTCCCAGCCTCATTCCCGGCCTCATTCCTGGCATTCCTGGCCTCATGCCTGGTATTCCCGGCCTCATTCCCGGTATTCCCGGCCTCATTCCCGGTATTCCCAGCATTCCCAGCCTCATTCCCAGCCTCATTCCCGGCATTCCCAGTATTCCTGGTATTCCCAGCCTCATTCCCGGCATTCCCAGCCTCATTCCCGGCATTCCCAGTATTCCTGGTATTCCCAGCCTCATTCCCGGCATTCCCAGCCTCATTCCCGGCATTCCCAGTATTCCTGGTATTCCCAGCCTCATTCCCGGCATTCCCAGCCTCATTCCCGGCATTCCCGGCCTCATTCCCGGTATTTTCCCGGCATTCCCGGCATTCCCTGACCTCCATCTTGGTCTGGATCCAGGGCCCCACGCGGTTGGCCTGGCTCCCGAATTGTCTCCGCAGGTGCTCGTTGGAATTCTGCCGGCTCTGCTCCTCCTGCAGCGCCTGGTCCCGCTTGGGCACCAGCTGCTGCACCTGGAAAAGGGCAGGGAAAACATTCCTGGGAAACCGGGAATCTCCCTCCGGAAAAACGGGAACGACGGGGGGAAAGAGAGGAAAGGAAGAAATCCAGGCGGAAAAAAAAAATGGGGTGGGGTTGGGATGATTACGGGGGCGGAAAAATCGGGGAGTTCGGGGTGGGGTTGGGAAAAATCCAGATGGAAAAGGAGGAATGGGGTGGGAAAATCCAGCTGGAAAAGGAGGAATGGGGTGGGAAAAATCCAGCTGGAAAAGGAGGAATGGGGTGGGAAAATCCAGGAAAAATCAGGAAGAAAACTGTGGGGAGAAGTCAGGAAGTTTGGGGTGGGGTTGGGGAAATCCAGCTGGAAAAGGAGGAATGGGGTGGGAAAATCCAGCTGGAAAAGGGGAAATGGGGGTGGAAAAACCCAGAAAAAAGCTGGGAGAAAACGGGAAAAATCAGGAATTTCAGAGAGGAGTTGAGAAAATCCAGCTGGAAAAGGGGAAATGGGGGTGGAAAAACCCAGAAAAAAGCTGGGAGAAAACGGGAAAAATCAGGAATTTCAGAGTGGAGTTGAGAAAATCCAGCTGGAAAAGGAGAAATGGGGTTGGAAAAACCCAGAAAAAATCTGGGAGAAAATGGGAAAAATCAGGAAGTTTGGGATGGGGGCTGGAAAAGGCGGAACGGGGTCGGACAAACCGAGGAGGGTGCAGAGAGAACCGGGAAACGAAGGAAAAAACCCGAAAAACCGCCTGGAAAACGGGAGGAAAACGGGAGAAAGATGGGAGAAAAATGGGAGAAAGATGGGAGAAAATGGGAGAAAACGGGAGGAAAACGGGAGAAAATGTGAGGAAAACAGGAGAAAATGGGAGAAAATGGGAGAAAACAGGAGAAAAATGGGAGGAAAACGGGAGAAAAATGGGAGAAAAATGGGAGAAAACGGGAGGAAAAGGGGAGGAAAACAGGAGAAAAATGGGAGAAAAAGGGGAGAAAATGGGAGAAAAACTGGAGAAAAAGGGGAGAAAATGGGGGAAAAGTGGGAGAAAAACAGGAGGAAAATGGGAGGAAAAGGGGAGAAAACTGGGAGGAAAACAGGAGAAATCAGGAGAAAAATGGGAGAAAAATGGGAGGAAAACGGGAGAAAAACGGGAGGAATCGGGAGAAAAACGGGAGAAAAATGGGAGAAAATGGGAGGAAAAGGGAAGGGAAACGGGAGAAAAAGGGGAGAAAAATGGGAGAAAACAGGAGAAAAATGGGAGGAAAACGGGAGAAAAATGGGAGAAAAAGGGGAGAAAAACGGGAGGAAAACGGGAGAAAACAGGAGGAAAACGGGAGAAAAACGGGACAAAATTGGAGAAAACAGGAGAAAAATGGGAGGAAAACGGGAGAAAAATGGGAGAAAACGGGAGGAAAACGGGAGAAAAATGGGAGAAAATGGGAGGAAAACGGGAGAAAAATGGGAGAAAAATGGGAGAAAATGGGAGGAAAACGGGAGGAAAACGGGAGAAAAAGGGGAGAAAATTGGAGAAAACAGGAGAAAATGGGAGGAAAACGGGAGAAAAATGGGAGGAAAACAGGAGAAATCGGGAGAAAAATGGGAGAAAAATGGGAGGAAAAGGGGAGAAAACAGGAGGAAAAGGGGAGGAAAAGGGGAGAAAATGGGAGGAAAACAAGAGGAAAACAGGAGAAAAAGGGGAGAAAAACGGGAGAAAACGGGAGAAAAACGGGAGAAAAATTGGAGAAAAACGGGAGAAAAATGGGAGAAAAACGGGAGAAAAACGGGAGAAAAACGGGAGAAAATGGGAGGGAAATGGGAGAAAAATGGGAGAAAAAGGGGAGAAAAAGGGGAGCAAAATGGGAGCAAAATG